AGTGAGAGAGAGCGAGAGAGAGAGAGAGAGAGAGAGAGAGAGAGAGAGAGAGGTCTCAGTGGAGAAGTCTTCGTCGTCTTCGTCGTCGTCGTCTTCGTCTTGAATGGCGGCGGCGGCGGCTGACGGGTTGAATGTGGAGAGGGGGGGATGGGGAACGACAGGGCTGTTGGTGACAGGTTGTGGGGTTTGAACACTGCTGTTGGCGTTGTGCGTATCAAGGGAGGGGCTTCTTCACACCTCTCGCTCACGCTCTGCACTGCCGTGCTCGCCTGTCGCTCATCTATCGCACACCTGCCTTGCCTTGCCTTGCCTTGCCTGGCCTGGCTGCCGCGATATGCCTGGCTTTGATCTGCCTCGTGGGGTCTTGTGTGCTCGTTGGGAATGCGCGCTGTGGCTCGTAGGACACGGTCGACGGGTCACGGCGGCTGCGTCTTGCATTTCTGCATATCCAACTTTCCAGCCGCAGCTCCCTGGTCCCTTGCCTACGCTTGTTTGACCCCATCGATGGCTTTTGCGCTTCGCGCCTTGGCACGCCGCTCGGCTTGGGCCGGGGCCGCGCGCCATCTCGCCTCGGCCGCTCGCGCACCAGCAACTGCTGCTCGTCGGCTCCAACCAGCTCCCGCCCTCCACGCCTGGCGCCAGCTCCACGCCGCCCCGCTCTTGGCCAAAAAGGTCGACTTTATGCTTGCGGATGTCGGTGAAGGCATTGCCGAAGTTCTGCTCCTCAAATGGTCGGTCTCTCGCCCCACCCCGCTCGCCCCGCCTGAAAGGGGGGGTTTTTTTTTTTCGGGGTCCTTGCCAAAGGAAAAAGGAATCAGACACTGACCCTTTTGCTACCTCTTCACGCACGTGTCCGAGGGTGAAACCGTGGCCCAGCTTGATACCGTTTGCGACGTTCAAAGCGACAAGGTCATCTCCCCACCTCCCCCGCTATCCTCCCCACCTCCCTTGCCACCACCGCCCTGCCTCCCCTCTGCCTCCTCTCTGCCTCCTCTCCGTGTCTTTCGTCTCCTCGTGCTCGTCACTCTGCGACTGTCATGCCTCATCCCCGATACCCCCTCCCCCCCAACCCCACTTTCATCGCAACTCACAGGCAACGTTGGACATTACAAGTCGCTACGACGGCGTCATCACCAAGCTCTACCATGCCGAAGGAGACACCGCCAAGGTCGGGCAACCCCTGATGCAGGTCGAAGTGGATGAGGACGACGCCGCCGCCGATGCCGCCCCCTCCAACGCATCCGAGGCGCCTGCTGCTGCTGCTGCTGCCGCCGCCGCCGATGGCTCTGCTGCCAGCTCATCCCCTGCTCCGAGCTCGAACAAGGCCAAGGCTCTCATGACGCCGGCCGTCCGTCGCATCATTCGTGAGCACAACCTCGAGCTCCATCAGATTCAGGGCTCGGGCAAGGACGGTCGCGTGCTCAAAGAGGACGTGCTCGCCTTTATCGAAAACGGTGGTCCCGCCGCCACTCCCGCCACCCCAGCATCGACACCCAGCTCCACCGCTCCTACTCCTACGCCCGCCGCGACGCCCGCGCCACGCCCACAACCCATCCTTCCCCTGGGCGAGGACGTGGTCACCCCCATCAAGGGCATTCAAAAGGCCATGGTGCAGAGCATGACCTCCGCCCTCCGTGTGCCCCACTTTGGTTATGCCGATGAAGTACGTAAACACGTCACCCTTGGCTTTTGGCTTCTGCCTTACGAGCCACGCCACCACGTTTATCCGACCCCCGTTCAACTTTTGTACCGCTGTTTTCCCTAACTCGTACTGCGATATAACCTGTTCCTTAGATCATCATGGATCGTCTCATCGAGGTTCGCAGCGAACTCAAGGGCAAGGTGTGTTTCCTGCTCCACCCTTCCGTTCTTGGAGCAAACCCCGCAACACCGCAGCATTCATGCATGGCTCATGTCCCACCGGCTCCCACTTACCCGCTCGTGCTGTTCATCTTTGGCAGTTGGCTGCTCAGGGCATCAAGCTGTCCTACATGCCCTTTATCATCAAGGCAGCCTCGCTTGCCCTGCATGAATACCCCATGCTCAATAGGTAAGGTCCTGCACACCACGCACCCGCTTTCAGACAATGTTGAGAGTCTCCTTCACAGTCTCAGTTCTCCTTATGTCTCACCGTCTCGCCGTGGTGTTCTCCTCAGCCACGTTGATGAGGAATGCACGCAAATTACCCAGCGCGCAGCTCATAACATTTGCGTGGCCATGGATACGCCCCAAGGCCTGCTCGTCCCCAACATCAAGAACGTCGAATCCAAAAACGTGCTTGAGATTGCTCAGGAACTCAACACCCTTCAGGAGCTGGGTGCCGCCGGCCGTCTGGGCCGTGACCACTTGAGCGGCGGTACATTCAGCATCTCCAACATTGGCGTTGTTGGTGGTACCTACTTGGGCCCCGTCGTGGTGGTCCCCCAGGTTGCTATCGCGGCCATTGGCAAGATTCAGCGCGTACCTCGCTTCGACGACAACGACAACGTTGTACCTGTCAACGTCATGAACATTTCTTTCAGCGCCGACCACCGAGTCATCGACGGCGTCACCATTGCCAACTTTAGCAACGTCATGAAAGAGCTCATCGAGTCTCCCACTCGTATGCTCCTTCAACTCAGGTAATCAGCCTTCAGAGAAGCACACAACATCCAGCGATGCCCGGCTCAGGTGACTGCACGTTCGCAGCCGACCGCCTACGAGGCCGCTCCGTCTCTGCTCGGCCCTGTTCCCTTCAGTCCCCAATAGTCGGCCGAGGCAAACAAATTGAATATTAAGTCATCAAGGCCCATCCTCAACCATTCTCTCCTTCCTTTTCTTTTTTCTTTGCGTATTGTTCCGTTCCATCCATCCCGGAATAGCGACATTATCTGACAGGGCACAGACTCAGGCACAGCGGTGGGCTTCTCAATGATGGACAGAAAAGCAAAGGAAAAAGGAATGCATGCCAATAGACTTGTCGATTGCAGCGGCGAGTGACAGGATAATATTGGTGTCCCCGTACAAGAGGAGCACGGTACACTCCCTTGCGCCCCTCAGAGGCTGGTCAAAAGCTGAAGGTACGACGTTTGCGCCGAGTGCTCCAACGAAGTCAACTCTGCGACCGAGGGCGCCAGTAAGGCCGCATGACCCGCATATTGCTGCTTGTTCTTGTCCCGAGCCTCGCCGTAGACCACCTGAACAACGTGCGAGCAAATAGCAGAGGTGCAGTGAGCATGGGGGAACTGCGTCAAGCTATAGAAACCATGAGGTGCAAGAGGATCAACGCACTTTGCCGTCGTATTCGTGGTGAGGCACTGCCATCGACTCATCGAGCTCGGGAATGACCACACCAATGTGGGCCTGCACCTCGCTCAAGAGGTTGGGCTCATCGTACCAGATGGTACAGCCACCTTGCTCAACCAGGCGCGTGTTGTGACAGCCCTTGCCGCGCGCAGGGCATTTGTGATACCACACCTACCATAAAAAAACACCCGGCCGGGGGTGTTGAGCAACACCATGGCAACACGAGGCCGAGCACGCTACAAGCAGAACAAAACGCCTCGTTGGCGCCCTTACGTACCTTTTCGGGGACAGTGGCCACGAATGAGATGGCTAGACCCATGCGGTCGGCGCGACCAACGCGGCCGATACGGTGCACATAGTTTTGCTTCTCATCCGGCATGGTAAAGTTGATGACATAAGGGATGCCCTTGACATCAATGCCACGTGCTGCAACGTCCGTGCAGATCAGGAAGCGTGCCTCACCATCCTATGAGGCGTGCGTGAGGATCCCCACCACGGACCACGCACAGAGAGTGAGCTGTCAATCATCTCCTGGCCCAGCATGTACGTGAATGCGCCAGAGGCAGGCCACCAACATGGCCTGCCAACTTGATGGATCGTGGTTGGGGCAGCGCACCTTGAACTTTTGCAAATTCTCTCGACGCTCGGGCACGCGGCGGTCCGAGTGCACGCAGACGCAGGTGTAACCATTCACCATGGCCTTGGCCCCACCACCCTCTGTCTGCAGGAAGCGCTCCACGTTATCGCAGTCGAGCTTGGTGCGGCAGAAAATGATGGCTTGATCCATTTGGTGCTGGTCGATGGCTGCCAGGAGATATTTGTACTTGAGACGCTTGACTCCTTCAGACAGATCCTCTTTGCTTTGACGCTGTGGCTTGATGTTGTCGCGGGCATGCACATCGTCTGTGCGTGCGTACGCGGGGACTTGATGCCACCACCTAGCATCAGACGGCCTTGAGCTGTGAGAAAGACCCGTTGTTGCACAACGCTGGCATCTAAGCAAATAGGGTTGAGAGAGCTTGAAACGCACGTGTCGCGTGTGGGATCGATGCGCACAACGGCATGGTGCACCGTGTCTGGCACCGAATCCATGCCCTACGTTGCCACCGATATCGCGTCGCATTGAGATGCGAGAGCTTGATCTCTCGTCTGGTCATGGTTACAATGTCTGCTATGATGTCTGACATGCAGCATGTGGCCGAACAAGATTGGCACCCACCTTCAAGTCAACCCAAGCTGGATGGTACATGATGGTCTCTGCCAACTTGGTGACATCGGGTGAGTGGAGGGTGGCCGAGCACACAACCACCTGCAGGCGGCGCCCAGCGGGGTCTTCTTGAGGCATGCGCTTGTACAAGTCGCGCAGCAGGTTGAAGTGGCCCTGCGAGAGCAAGGCATCCACCTGTGCACACGAAACACGAGATGAGCGTGCGGTACTTTGAGGATGCAAGTGGCTCGAGAAGCTGGGTCGAAATGACATACTTCGTCCATGACAAAGAAGCGGACGCGGCCAAGATCTAGCTTGCCCGTTTTGACAAAGTCCTCCACACGGCCGGGCGTGCCAACAATAATCTCCACGCCTAGACGAGGATGGCAACATGAGGGGGCCAGGAGGGTGTCAGCTTGAATCGAGCGTGAAGCATAGTTCGTGGTGGGCAACAAGCACAGGGCACTGTGGCCCGAGCTGAGCGGGGCTGACCTTGCGCCAGTTGCTTGAGCTGGTCCTTGGCGCTCATGCCGCCAATCAGCAATGCCGTGCGCAGGTTACAGTCTGAGATGTGCTTCTTAAACAAGTTGAGCTACATTTGTCAAGCGCCAAGCAAGCAGCATATATGCATTAGGACAAGTGCTTACGCTGCATTTCGTCATGCTCTGTTGACAAAGCTCAGGTGGCCACCCAGAGCATGGCTCCACTGACCTGATCGCGAGTTTGTTCGGCCAATTCACGTGAGGGCTCGAGGATCAGC